ATTTCCGATCGCTAGTTTTGATAAAAGTGTTTGAAGTTTTTAAAATTCAGTCTCCTTATTGGAAATTAAAGTGAACTGACCATAAATTCAATAAAGGCTATGGGCCAAGCTGTATCTTTTTATCCCAAATTCTTTCTAGTTTTGAATCTGCTTGTATATAAATCATTTGTGATACATAAATATAACTTAAGAATTCGTCTCTTTTCTGCAGCGCTTGCAGGGTTAGAAACAACGTAAAATGACGGTGACTCATTTGAAGTCTTTTGTCGGTACATAAGATAAACTTAGGGTTTTTCGCGCTTAAGTGGTAACATCAATTTTTATGTGACCTTCTGCTTCGTTTGACGTTGTAGCAAGACTTGAGATATGTAACATTTTTTTTTTTTTTTACAGAACATAATTGCGATGTAGCTGCCTTTGCAAAAATCTGTTTTACCGTTAAAGACCATAATGTTGTACTTAGAACGAAGAATATCTGACGCAAAATCTAAAATTTGATAACATTCCTTAGGTCCTAGTGAAGATTTTTTTCTTGATTTTGAGTTTAAAATTTTAAGACGATTAGGGAAAAACTGGAGGAACCTACTGCATTCGTATTTACAACCTAGATACTGTATTTATAAACCTAGATACCTGTATTTTATATTTAATTTGCCGCTATTGCTGAGTTTCTCTTGCTTTCAGAACTTTAATCTGGCTTTAAGGCAAAGGGTATGAATAGTTAATCCTATTTTTTATTAATGAACTGGATCAAGAAGGAATATATTATAAAAAATGTACAAAGTGAGGGCATCAGTTTGAGGATTAAGAATGTGGACTATCATAAAATTATCATTAATTTCAATAGTAAACAGATCGAAGGGAATTTGTTTCTAATCGGCAAAAAAGTAATTCAACGAATTCTGGTTGCTATAAAACAGGAACAGAGACTTCTATGTATTGCTAAGCATCAAATATTGTCAAACTATGAGAAGCAAACATATGGAACTGATGTGTTTTAAATAGTGAATTTGTCACATTTATCTTCTAGCTGACATAAGTTTTTTATTTTGCCTTTTTGTAAATCTAAGCGGAACACATTGATACATACCGTGTATGAAGTTCGTTCTTAATTAATGCAATAGCAATAACAAGTCATTCGATGGTTCGTGTAGAAATGAAATATAGAAACAAAAAAAAAAAAATTATATATTATTCTATAAGGAAAAAAAAAATAGATGCCCCGGGTGAGGATCGAACTCACGACCTTAAGATTATGAGACTTACGCGCTGCCTACTGCGCCACCGAGGCTTATGTCCATCATTCTTAAACTTCATATACATTGTAAGTAATAGAAAATAGAACATTTTAAGATTCTGTTAAATTAACGATAAAAAAATAAAAGTTAGAAAAATTGGTTTTCTCTTATTTTTTGAAAAATGTAAATTTATAAAACTATTTTCATACGTTTATAATGCACAATAAAACCAAAACGAAAAGAAATGCTTACAACGATTCTTACTATATTGAATACTTGTTATTGTGCACAAAAAACTCTTGGTATTTTTATATTAGAATAACCTAGATCAGTTTAATGCATTCATAATTAAATTATAATCCATTTAATCGTAGGAATGGCATAAACGAAACGTGTAGCTACGATGTGTTTAAGTGCCGCGATAAAATTTGAATAGATGAAATCATCTTTATGCTTTGGCGCCAAAAAGAACGACTGTAGAAAGCTAAATAGAATGCACGCATTTCCATGGTGCATGGTGCGCCCAGACGTCAAAATATGAAACTGTTAACTCACAGTGAGGCACACAGCTTGCTTTGTATTGCTGGATAGTTCGTTGTATCACTGCTCCAATGTATGATGCAAATAAATGCATTATGTTCAGCGCTTAAACCTGCTTAAGTTGCTTCTGCTCTCAGAGAAGAATATTAAACATATTTGTATATATTTCTAGAAATAAATTTATGTAGAGAAAGCATTTTAAAACTAGGTGTACAGTGTTGAGATTAGAACGTAAATCCGCATCCACCAACAAGGACTTGAAAATAAAATTTTACTCTGTCGGTTTATTCTTTAATCAATCTGGATTTAGACTTGCAATAGTAAGAAATAGAAGAATATTTGGTTTTTCTTTCTTTTAGTCTATTCGTGTAACACGGCGACTTTCCGAAAGGAGGAAAGAAAGGGAAGGAGTGATGGCGGCCACAAATTAGTAGATGTGTGTCCTATAGACAACTTTTATGCTTTTATTAACCGAGCACTCACAATAGTTACGGCCAAAGTAACCTCTATTGCCGTTGAGATTTGGAGCAGCGAACACTAACTCGCTAGTTGGTTCAAATATCGAAGATACTTTAAAGAACGAAAAATGCTTAATTAAGACAACATTTCCTTTTTTTTTGAGGTTGCGTTGAACGAGCACATACAAGTAGCAGAAACTTGAATGCATCACGACATCTCAGCAGGAGGCCTGAGGCTAGATAAAAAAATTTAATCACAGTCTTATTTAAATATATAAAGTAGCATCCTCCGGAATTATTATTATGATGCTCATAGGAATTAGTAAATGCCATTCAATTAAATAAGGCAAATCACCCAACACAAAAAAAAGGAAGAAATATTTGATGCCGCAATTGCATTCATTTAGATTTTAATATGTTGGAGATCAATTTTTTACCCTTACACGATGATTTTCCGTTAAAACTATCCGACATACCGTGCTACTGCTTTATATCGATAAAGAATTTTAAGTGAAGTTGCGCTATACTTGTAAAGCAAAAAGAGTATGTTTGTTTCCCCGTTCAGATAATGGACCGAAATTTCTAAAACAATTACATTGACAGCGTTATTGTCTTTTTGTTGCTTATAGGTAATAATACAACAAGTAGGTAAGCAAGATCTAACTTTCGGTCAACTTGACCGATATAACTTCCAAAGGATTTATTAACGTTGTATGCATTGATTGAAATTTGATTTTCTTCCAATTAAATATACAAATATCTATCTTATTGCTTATGGATTCTAGCAAAGTAATTACTTTAATAATAATTATCATACATTCATAATATCTCGTAGTCTATTCTATGTGTCAGTTGAATTCCTTGGATTGTAAGAGATCTTTAAGTTATTTATGTATCTTTTGATACTTACACGCTTGCATGAATGTATTTATGTACGCGTTCTACGTGTACGTGTGTCTGTCTATTTTAAGTATCTTTGAACAAGTATTTCGTATAGCTGAACATATGTGTTTACCATCCCCAAAGGCATAATAAGTTGCATTACAAATCGAGTTGAATATAAACATTATTATGCGTTTAGATATTCTCATATATATATATATATATACCGACATTCAAATATCTATTTATACGTAGTAACAAATATTTTACAAGAAATATTTTCTATATCTATATATATGCATGTGTGTACATTTGCGTTTGTGCGAAGGCAAACAAAGCACACTCTGTCTCTCAGTGCAATCATAATAATGTAGAAAATGACAAAATGATAATAAAGACTGGCTGGTGTAGATGTGTGTACAAGTGTGTGCACACATTTGTATGTGTTAATGTGCTTAGAGCAATGCCATAAAATAAAGACATATAAACATTACAAAATTATGCAGGGAAAAATTTCGTTTACTTTCTACTACTGATGCTTTGTCTCCTCTTTTTTTTTTTTTGGTTTTCTTTTTTTTTTTTTCCCAAAGACTTTGTGGAAACACATAAGCTTAGTAGTAGGTTTTGTAACATTTTGTTTAGAATATCTGGTCGTGTTGAAATCTGCTTGTTGTTACTGTTATTCAGGCATATCCTTTTTTTTTTTCTTTACTTTTGTTACACTAATCATAAGCATTATAAGTTTGGTATGGCTTACAAGCAGTTTATATGATATGCATACATATTTACAAGGCATTGAAGTTATGTGTATTTTTGAAATGAATTTTATCCTTGAGAGAGCAATAAATGAATGCCTATAAGGAAAATGGGAAAAAACTTAAAATATTAGTCCCAAATTAATTACCTTCAGCGTGGAGGATGAAAAGATTGCTTTTAAGAGAAAAAAAAAAAAATCTTGTGCGATGCATTTGTTTTTGCTATGAAATACTCAGCCAACTAAAAGTGTATTTTGAAAGTTACAAGCAAATTTTAATGAAAACATTAAGCGAATATTCAGAGAAATTCATTTTGACCTTTGTGGTCAAAATATCAATTATCAGTTTGAATTTAAATTAAATTTTGTATTAAGATAATTTTTGAAAATTTTCTCTTACACATTCTTTAGCATAAGTTAATGAAAGCTCTTGAGTTTTCTTCAATTTCAAATAGTGCTTGCTGGTCAACGTTTCATTCAAGTCTGTAAAGTCTGTATACTTTTATTTTAAATGTTTTTGTATTTTTCAAGCTGTTAATTGATCTTTTATTATTACTTCTTACTTACTAATTATAAAAAAAAATGCTGCTATTGCTCCATTCTGCATTACTGTAAATTGTTAACTGTTCTATATAAGTCATTGTGTACAATACCAATGAAAATAAGAAATGTAAACCAAGAACGTCACAAGTACATTATTTATCAATTCTTTTTTAAGTTTCAATCTTCAATAATTCACACTTTTTTTTTTTTTTTTAAATTCCACTAAGTTGCACGAAATTTTTAAAGAATAAAGAGTTGAGGCATAGAATATGATTTCGCTTCGTAGTCTGAGTTTATTAATGAAAGCAATCCGATCATTTTGTTAACTTTTTAAAACCAAAAAAAAAAAAAAAAAAAAAAAAAAACAAACAAAAACAAAAAGAAAAGCAAAATGGAATTAAAAGAATTTTGTTTAAAGATTCATTTTATTTTGAGAATATTATTAGTGATTTCCATTGTTATTCTAAGTACAGTCATTATAATGGAATTAACTTCGGAGCCTTCAATTCTACGCATACTTGTCAATACTGTTAAAGGGACTGATGAGGATAAAAACCTTGTAAAATTTGAAAATTCTAATGGCACTGCGAGAAATGGAAAATTTACCAGAAATATTCATGAAAATAATACTTCGAAAACTAAAAATTACTATGAAGAACAAATGCCGGTGGTGGTATATTCGAGAACTGATGTAGATTTACCGGATAATCAAAACATCTTAGCAAATCAGAACACGCAAGAGAATGATAACAATTATTATGATTCTCATTATTATGATGACAATGATGCTGACGCTTATGATGACGACGATGATGGTTTTAGTGAAAATGAAGGAAGGGGACGCTCTTCTCATTACAATGATTATGATATGTATTACAGTCAATGGCTTCATACTACATCATCACCTCATATCACAAAACCGAAACAAGGATTGAAGAATAGTGAAGTAAATAAACATAAATTAATGAGATATAATGGAATAACAAGAAATAGGTAAGAAAATGTGGTGAATATTAATTTTTGTATTAAGAATTTTTTTTTTTTTTTTTTATATTTACATTAATATACCTTCAAGAAGAAGAAAGCAAAAAAGAAACGCTGAATTATTTATGAGAAACTATTTATTTACTTTTTTTTTAAAAACATCGTACTTCCAAGAACTAAAGTTTAAAAGGCATTATAGCGAAGACTTTAATTTCGTGAGCCATGTTAGAGTAAAAGTTGCGTTTGGTAGAAGTACCCGATAATCTTTATCAACATAAGGTTCTTACTCTTTTTAGTGACTTTTATCTCTCCGTCCCTCCTCGCTCTCATTTTTCGTCTCCCTGTTCGTCCGCCAGTTCGTCTCTGGCCCTATCTATGCGATAATCGCTACGTTTCTCGTTATTGTGACGACAACGATACCGTCTCAGCTATTGATGGTTGTAGTGAAAATGTGATGAAAGGAAATTCTTCTCATTGGAATGATTGTAATTCGTATTATAGCCATTAAAGTGATTATTACGTGTAAGTAGTTCGTACCGCATCTACCCATAATTTGGACGCTGAATTTCGGGTCTATGAATATTCGTAGTAAGGTCAAGTCTCATTATTAGTTTGAAGATTGTTCAGTAAAGGATCCAATTCGACAGCCTACTTTTTGAAAACCGATTGAGAATCAAGTTGGCTATCCATTTTGTGGTCTTTTCCGTTTGCTAGAGTCGTTTGTTTGTTAGCTTATGCACAAACACACACAGATGATATACACATTTATTAGGCAAGGTCATTGCTTAATTTAAAGCTAAAAGACTTTAAAATATTCAGCATTTGATACATCAAACAGTGAATTGATGGTAATCGATGATTCGTCATTGTGGTCGAATGCCCAATTCTTCAGCTAATTGAAAAAGAAAACGATATGTCTATTTAAGCTGTCTCCTTCCACAATATCCAGGCAATGAAGGCAGAAAAATGTGAAAAGTTAAAAACTCCACGAAGATGCCATCTACGGAATCCTACGGTATATTTTTTTGCTATTTGGGCGAGAATATCAAGCTCACATTTAGCTTTGTTTTGTTCAGTACGTTTTCCAAATTTACAAATTAAAATCAAATAAAGAGCGATTACTGCTTAGTGCTAAGGGTAAAAATGTGTTGCAACAGCTGAAAATATCTGTTTCGTTATAGAGAATTTTCGAACTTGAAACCACAAACTCGTCAAGTTGACGTGTACCGTAAATCTAGTATTAAAGCAGAAGTTAACAATCAGGATGGTTGTGGCAGAAACTCTACGATTCGGTCTCGACGTTTTTGGAATAGATCAACAGAGTGATACATAACGTGGTAATCCTTAGCGCTTGTAAACAAATATGTTACTTAATGTTGCAAAGTACGAAGCACATAGTAAAGGAAGTAAAATTTGAGTATATCCCGAAAGTAATGAAAGTAAAATACTTTTGTAATAAAAAATATTGGGACTATATATCATGGAAGATTCAACAGCCATGAATTGCTTATACATATATAAAAAAAATGTAAAAAACGCTTCAATTTGCTTTTGAATTTAATCGTTTGCACGACTTGGACCATATATGTACGTGCATTGAATGATTTTGAATTTATTTTTATTACGAGTCCACACAAACACATATACACTTTCATTGCCTAGATTTTAATCGCAGCAATAAATATACACACATATCATTATCATAACATATATTTTTATTTAAAAAATATTTAGATAGATTTTCTTGTAAATGATGTATTTAATGCTGATGCTGTTGATGCTTTTCGAAGCTTAACACTTTCTACTATAATGATCTGCAATTAATTGACACTAATTATATAAGATTAAGTGTTTTGAAAAATTTTACGGCATAAAGCGACGTTACCGATTTCTAGGCTTTCTTTTTTGCTTATGAAACAATTTTGCATTCACTGGAGAAATTCGCAAATATAATGGATTTACCATTCAGACAGAAACACTCAAAAATGCAAGATGACATAAAATAATAGACATAAGGTTCAATTGAAAACTGTTTTTGCACATATTCAATTTGTTGACAATTAAGATCGTATTCTGTATACCAGATACTAGAGCCAGATTCAAAAATATCCCACACAAGCAGTGCATAGAGCAATCGGGTAGAGAGTAACAATGACGTAATTTCTTTGGCCAACCCTTCTTGAAGCCCAAAGAATCCTTTGCCTTATTCGCATTCGATAATGTTTATTTGGGCATTGAAGGACAATTTTACATTAAATATGATTGCCAGATTACTAAGTCTTTATTGCGCCAGGAAATATTGATGCTATGCAAAAATTGATTATACAAGCTCGGGATGTGACATATCGTGAGATTGTGGCGATCTTAGGCGTTTCCATATATAAAATACTCTCTGATCATTTAGTTGTGAAAAAGATTTTTTTGGATAGAACATCCACAAATTAATAAAATGTTAAAAATACGCTTATACCGATAGCGCAATCAAGTGTTTAAGAAATTCAGTAGGTTTGCACCAAAATCCAGTAAGACTTGTTTGCGTTCAAAGCACTTTGAAATAAGTGTTCGCCTGCTTTTTCAAAAACACTGGCCAAGTGGCAATAGACCCTTTAGTCGAACGTAAAGGAATAAATTCTGAATGAGGCACAGAAGTCTGTAGTGAAATCAACAAAACAAATAAATGCTGTCGGATCGTTCTTCACCAAGATAAAGTAAGCCCTCACACATCTCTTCTAATAACTATTTAAATATTAATAAAATCGAATTAAGGGATCATCCACAGTACATTTCCCATTTGGGAGCTAATGAGTTCGTTTTGTTTATAAAAAGGCAAGCAATAGTTTCTTCTTGATATTCTGTCAAATAGGGGAAGTTGAGAGCGGTTAAATTCCATTCAAGCAAGAAGAACAAAAAAAAAAGGAGCATGAAAATGAATTTTTGGATATGTATAATGAGGATGTGCGGCCACAAGCCCAGATGCATCACGTTTTGGAAGGCCAGTTGAAAGTAATGATGCCAAAACAAAGACATTAATTGATGAAAACCATTGAATAACAACTCGCGAGATTGGTAGAAAATTGGATTTATCGAATTCATGATGATCCTTTATCCTTGATTCTTTATTTTGAGTGAAAAACAAAACGGTTGATTTTCTACTGTAAGTTTGCTGCAAGTTTTTTTAGGAGTGTGCTTATAAAGGGGTAAAATCTTTTATGAATTATAATATATCAACCCTTGGCCAGTGTGAGTGTCGCGGCAAACGTTTTGCACCCATCTTAAACTTTAACGCGCGAGCGTCAGTCGAATTGTTAAGTTTTTATCTCAATTTTTGCCACCATGAGCTCTCCGACTGTGGCGTACTAACGGACGCTCGAACAATGTCTTACGTTTATCGGGAATATATTGACATAGTAGGATCTATGACGTGCATTGAAAACGAAAGGAAAGACGTGGTATGTTTATTTTATGGATTTATTTAATATATGCACATGTGAACCTCATTTCGCGAAAATTTAATTTGATATACATGATTTAGATTAACAAAAAAAAAAAAAAAAAAAAAAAAAAAAATGTTATTAAAACTTTTAAATCAATTCAAAATGTTTAGAGCTTTCAGTTCTTTTTACTCAAAATTAAAGTTTTCATTTTTTTTCGTGTTCCACACACATGCTATTTGAAATTAAAAATTCATTTATTAGAAAACTGTCAAAAACACAAAATTTTCTCTATTAATTCGTTAATAACGATAAAAAATTCATAAATTGTTTGTTAAAATTATATGTTTTACAAGCGTGCGTTTGTGTGTTATTTTATTTATATATATACACGTAATATACATACATATATAAATATTGACTATATATACATATACATATTTATATGTATTGTTTATATATATATACATATATATTGAATGCAATCAATTCAAATATCATTTACAAACAATTTGTCTATATTTATTTTATTTGCTTGCATATAAACGTTGGTAAATATTTATAAAAATATGTATAAACAATGCAATAAATATGTACAAAATACACTCAAATGCATATTATGAATGCTATGTACAAAAATAATTACAAAATTGTGGTTTCAATTAACAATAAAATCTAATTAAAAGCTTTTAACATATAAAATTAGTTGCAATCATTGCGGAGGCATATGTACGCATATGTTTGTGCGTATGCATATGCATAGATAAACCACAAAAACATGCTAAAGTACAAACTACTATGTATAGTATAATTTCACAAACACAAACACACACACACACACACACACACACATATGTATATATATATATATATATATATATATATACATGTATATATATATACATGTATATGTATGTATGTGTGTACATATGGTTGTGTGTATGTATATATAAAACTAAACTAACAATGGCTATTTACTGTATTACATGATTTTGTTTTTTTTTTTTTTTTTTTTTTTTTTTTGAGTTTATACCACAATCAGTGCATATATGTACATGCGTATAAGTGTACATGGCTGTGTGCACACAATAAACATGTCACTTGCTTTGGTCACAAAACGTACTTAAAATCTAACCATATGTAAAATGAATATTTAATAAATATTAAATGCATTTATATTGTAAACATAAAATATTATAGAATAGAACATATACTCTACTAAATCATATACCTTACCATACCTCGTTTAACTAATGCTTTATTGCTTTTGCAATGCTCAAGAGCCTTGCTTATCCACACCTTTAAATATTAACCGTTTTAAATGGTTAATGTGCGAAATGTTTTACATTATGTTTGAATATAATTTTCTTTTTTGTTTTGTATTTGTTTGTTTGTTATATTGAATGAATGCATATAATTAACAACTAAACAGTCACCACTTCAACGTTACAACAAACGCTTGGCAATTTAAACGTATACATCAAAAAAAGAAAGAAAAAAAAGGGCAAGCAAACGGCTATAGAGAGAAAAGTAATTAAATTTTGTTGTTGATGTTGAAAATAAATACTTTAATTATTA